ATTACTCGTACAAAAAAATTTACGCTTTACCTGTTTTTATCTCACGCAAATCAAAGAATTTAAAAGTACATGCCTGAAAGCGGCGATAAAGTTCCCTCTGAGGTTCACTTGCTCCTTCACATAGCACTGTTTTCTTCAAACGAACTCCCGTCGTGCTCACGTCACCCTCTTTTTCAAAAGTATCATGAATATCTAACGCCAACATCTGAAATTAGTTTAAATTCAGAGATATGGATACATACATGCGTACATCAGATAGATACAGTCAAATTTATTCGCCTTCTTTTTACAATGGCCACGTATAAAAATAGGATTCTTCGTGCAAAAACGGTGGCAAAATTTGTTGCCTTTCTGAAAATTTCCAAATATATCAAGCGCAAAATCTGGGATTCTAACTGCTACCGTAGTGACTGATCCGTCAAGTATAACTGAAAGTGCGCTCGATGCTGCACAATATTTTGATGTAAGTAATTTATTGTGGTCAAGCGATGGATGCGCCGTACCAACAACCACAGAATGACAAGCGCAGAGACTGTCGCAGTCCGAAGATCGTTCGATGAGGAAACTGGGAACTCCTCAATAACTTCAAACAGCGAGCACCGCCACAGAAAAGTCACGAAAGGACTGGTTTTCCCGTAGTAAGCTTTGAGTTGCAACCATTGTTTAAGAACTGGAAACCTGTGGCTACAATGTAAAATACCTCTACAAAAGATAACATCAGTCCAATCAACAACCACTTTCCTGTCTGTTTGAAGCTAAACAGCAAACAGAGACTTCTTCCTGAAAATTTGGCTGCATCGAAGAGCCAACCGGTAACCCACTGTTTGTAAGAAGCGAAGGCACCCGGAAGTAGCCGATAGTAGTACATGAAATCAACTCTTGTAAGGCTGACAATGAATTCCTGTTCCTAGACTTGCTTTAAAAAAAAAGATAGTGGCGATTTTAACTCCCCAACATGTGTCAGTATCAATTCACCCATCGAAACACGCATTAAAGTCAGACAGGTTTTCCAAGGGAAGTACTAGACTGCAGCCGAAAATCTGTTTGCTAGTCTTGCAAGTTCCTCATGAGAATTAAACAAACGTCTTGAATAAATGAAGAATTAAGAAGACGAACCTCCGCCCAGAGGCGACTGTAATACATACTCATCGACATGCTTCGACCGAAAATTGCTGCAAACGAGCACGGCTGCATATCGTTGGAGGATTTTTTGAATGGGAAATATTCCTTCACCTTGGCGTCATATACTTCTTGCCACGTGCCCCTTTAGAAAACTGATATAAAAATTTTTAAATGAATAAAAATTTTAAGGTTGAAGTCGGAAAATTACATAAATCCTCAATTATAAGAGAAAGCGAAACTCCGCTCTTTCAACATGCCCCTAACCACTAGCATGGAAGTTTTCGGCGCCAGTAAGGTACAGCTACATCAGATCTTTCTAGGGCTGGTTGTCTATGCTGCTATAATCATCATCCGCTGGGCAGACCAGCAGCAACAGTTCGTGCGCTCAAAAAAAAACCAAACAAAATATTTATCAGGTTTAATTTAATCAAGAAATATCTGGAAAGTGGATGTCTGTGCAGATTTCTTTTCCAACACAACCCAAAAAGGTTTCTACGCCAACACTAAAGCAAACTAACCTTTTGTCCACTGCAGTCAGTTCTTAAATACTAGTTTTTGATGAAACTCAATCGAAACAGAAAGAAAATCTGTCGCTCAATCAAGCGAGGGCGAATCAGTCCCACCGATACATCACAGTGTGACAAAACATGTACATTACACCTTGTGGGAGAAAACACACACGCGCAGCAGACCAGACAGAGAAATTTGAATTCTTTTCGAGGCCAGCTATCCAAGTCAGGAATCAAACAGTCCTTTGTATTCGTTCGTTTTTCTGAGGCAGACACACCTGGCAGTAGCCTGTGTGGGTGCAAATATTAACTCAATGGATCGAAACGTCTTAGCTCAATCTTACTCCCGACTTACACTACCCCTTTTTACTTGTACACCCCATCATCCGCCCCTTCAGGATTGACCTGGAGACTGCAACCTAATAGCCACCTGCTGCAAGGTGTCAATGGCTTCTCGTCCCTCTAAGATGGCAAGTCTAATTCTCTCGTACCTGGACCTTTAAGTCTAAGTTCAAAAAAAGCAATATGTGCCACTGCATCATGCCCACTAGCAAATCAGACGTAGTGAAAAATTAAATTTTTGTTAAAATATAAAAAAAGCTCTTAAACGAACTGGTCGATATCCCTCATGTCAAAAAGAGTGAGGTCGAAATCTGCCCAGAACAGCGCACGATAAGATTCGTAAAATGCACAGCGCGACAATCCCAAAGCAATATCGTTTGCTCGTGATTCCGATAGCACCTCACCAGTTTTCTTAATTTCGATTATTTAATGTCTGCAGCACAACCTGCCCATCCAAAACACTCCGCTTCGTTATGCATGAATATTAGGCACAGTCTAGTAGAATCTTGCAAAAGTTAAGGCCTCAAATATTTTCAAAAGGGATAACTCCTTGATTAAGCTTTCGCGAAGTTTCAACAAGTAAAACTGGTGTCACATTCCATCTACCTTGTGGTGCAAACTGCGAAAGTTCAACCAACAATAGCCAATAATCACTGGTAAAGCAACCGACATGATTTCTGTGGTCATCATTCAAAGGATGGAATTGAAAGCATACTGAAAGGGGAAACTCAGAGACAGTGGGTGCGGGAAGGAAGCACGAAAAGTCCTTAAAACATTCGGCAAGTGACTTCACGGCAAATAAATGAACCGCATAACTGCTTTTTCAAATGGATGGCTTCTTCAAACGAACCACAGATCAAAATTTCCCTCATAATCGCTCTCACTGACAGACTGAGACACTAGGAGGTATTCAGGGTGACAGCAGCAAGCACCCGATGGTAAGGCTGCCGATGGCTCCCTCGTCCCAGAATTGCTTAGAAGTACGCAGGAGTCTCCAAAATTAATTTGCCACTGGAGCAAATGAATAAACTGCGTTATTACGCCTTTATAGCAAAGTATTTACTCCCCAACTTTTTGCAAAGACAGCAACAGCACAACACCACATGAAAATGATAACTCCCCAAAAAAATATGAACAAATGAAAGAAAATGACG